TACATGACTCTTTTTGAATTATGGTTTTCTCAGGGTATGTGCCCAGTAGTGGGATTGCTGGGTCGTATGGTAGTTCTATTTTTAGTTTTTTAAGGAACCACCATACTGTTCTCCATAGTGGCTGTATCAATTTACATTCCCACCAACAGTGCAAAAAGTTTCCCTTTTCTCCACACCCTCTCCAGCATTTATTGTTTGTAGATTTTTTGATGACGGCCATTCTGACCAGTGTGAGGTGATACCTCGTTGTAGTTTTGATTTGCATTTCTCTAATGATTAGTGATGTTGAGCATCCTTTCATGTGTTTGTTGGCCATCTGTATATCTTCTTTGGAGAAATGTCTATTTAGGTCATCTGCCCATTTTTGCATTGGGTTGTTTACTTTTTGGAAATTGAGCTGCATGAGCTGCTTGTAAATTTGGGGGATTAGATCCTTTGTCGGTTACTTCATTTGCAAATAATTTCTCCCATTCTGAGGGTTCTCTTTTCGTCTTGTTTGTGTTTTCCTTTGCTGTGCAAAAGCTTTTAAGTTTCATTAGGTCCCATTGGTTTATTTTTGTTTTTATTTCCATTTCTCTAGGAGGTGGGTCAAAAAGGATCTTGCTGTGATTTATGTCATAGAGTGTTCTGCCTACGTTTTCAGTTTATTGGTTTATTTTTATTTTGAGGTGCAGGTCCTGTCCCTATTCTTTTGTCTCTGTTTTTTCTTTTTTCTTTTGCCCTACCCAGGTATGTGGGGAGTTTCTTGCCTTTTGGGAGGTCTGAGGTCTTCTGCCAGCATTCAGTAGCTGTTCTGTAGGAGTTGTTCCACGTATAGATGTATTTCTGAGGTATTTGTGGGGAGGAAGGTGATCTCCACGTCTTACTCCTCCGCCACCTTGAAGGTCTCATCAGGCCATGTATTTTAATTCCTTGTCCTGTGTTCTTTCCACCACAAAACACCCACTATCTTCAAAAGATATAAAATCAACAAGTTGGTAAATAGGGGCAAATTTCCACCTGCCTTACTTCTCTCACAAACAGAAATCGATGCAACCAACTTTTGGGACCCAGTAACGCCAGTGCCAGGAGCCCTGTTCTTACCTCTGTGTGATCCTCTGAAAGTCTGTGTCTAAGTGAAGAATTGAATCATTATCCAGGCAATGCAAAAGGGAAGAAAAGTGTTATCCAGAAAGAATGTCTATTTCCAGTAACTAAATGCTTGGAACATACAGAGTATGATGTTTTACAAAGCCTTCGCATTTGAATCTTTTATTTCTTAAGCAACACAATCATATGTTGGCAATTCAACCAAAACGATGGGCTCAACTATGACTTGTCCTTGGTTTGGTTTGCGGACGTGAATGGAATTAGCACAATGTTTTAGTTGAGAAAGAGACTCGCCATATGTTAGAGGTGAAAGGAACCTTGGAAATGACGTAATCCAAATTCCGAGGGGGTTGACGGATATCACCCAGGTAGTTGTTTGGAATTTCCATTTCATTTGCGATATACAAACATAAGTCTATTTGCTGGAGCCGAAAGAGCCAGCTCTGGAGGCTGGTTATTAGAGGTGACAGGATTAAAAACCTAACTTGTGCATGGTTATAACAAATGAAGCAATACGTAAATGCCATAAGGGTTTGCTGTACCAAAGTAAATATCCATGTTTAGAGGTGTATCCTGTAGCTTAGAGCAAAATTTCACGTTTGTTCTATTTATCGTGTTAAAAAAAAAATTCTACCATAAAACAATAACCTTGCATTTGGCTTATTGCATCACTCATCATCCTTGGTATATATTGAATAATTTGTCTAAGGTGCTGTCTTTCTTGGAGAATTCCAAGTTTCACAAGTTATTTAAAATAAACCATTCCTTTACATTGACAGCAAATGGGTTTTGACAGATTGAACATGAGACAGAAAATAATGCGCTGCAATACCTTATAGTTTAACATGAATGTGGGGTTGCTAAGGGCTTGAGTGATTGGATATTTTTTCTTGAGTAATTCCTTTTCTTCAAGAATGTCCTTCAAATCTTGCTATGCCCATGCTAAATTTTCAGGTGTTAAAAGTAGCCATATTTATTAAGTTGCCATCAACCAGACCATAGACTAAGTCAGAACTATACAATGTTCATTATTTCCCAAAGTTACATACGAAAGTAAAATGACCTACAATCTCGGTCAGATTGTGGAGTCATGGAAAACCTGAAGGTCCACCTTGGATCGTCCACTTTGTTCTTTGTCTAAAAGGTTGGAAGATAGTAGAATGGTTTCATTTGTATTTCTGCTTTTCTCTTGCTCTTGCCCTAAATAAAATGCATCCAAAACAGGCAGGTGAACAGATAAGAAGATATGGAAAATCTAGAATATAGATTATCAGCACAAGAATGCTGGCAGCAATCCCCGTACTTAAAATGCCCAAAGGTATATCAGGAACAGTGTGACCGTCTAGAAAATACAGAGGAACCTAGTTCGTTATGGTAAGAACATAAGAGTAGATGGAATCCGACCAGTGCTTCCTAAGAATATTTAAGTAACAGAATATTGTAAATGTCCCCCTTCCATTGGCCCCCGAGGGGAAAGCTTTGAGGTGAGCATTCCCAACGTGTCCTTGATAAACCCTCTGAATCCATTATCCATGGGTTTATCTAAAACTTCTTGAGGGGATTTCTGACTTTAGCCTTCACAGTCTCTGGAGTAGATGAAGAGAACCTTTATTCTACTGTCATTCATTGATCCACATTTTTAAAGGAACTCCTGAAGTATACTCAGGTAAAAAGTACTTAGTTTTGCTTAAGAAAAAATTATAAAACACTAGTAATTCAGTACTGTTCTTTTTTTTTTTTTTAATTTATTTATTTATTTTTGGCTGTGTTGGGTCTTCGTTTCTGTGCGAGGGCCTTCCCCAGCCGTGGCAAGCAGGGGCCACTCTTCATCGCGGTGCGCGGTCCTCTCACTATCGCGGCCTCTCTTGTTGCGGAGCACAGGCCCCAGACACGCAGGCTCAGCAGTTGTGGCTCACGGGCCCAGCTGCTCCGCGGCATGTGGGATCCTCACAGACCAGGGCTCGAACCCGTGTCCCCTGCATTAGCAGGCAGACCCTCAACCACTGCGCCACCAGGGAAGCCCCTCAGTACCGTTCTTTAAGTTAAGAAAACTTAAATCTTTACTTCATTTCTGCAGTGCATTCTGGAACAAACTATGGTTTTCACTCTAAAGTGATTTAAGAGGAAAGATGGGAGCTGGAAGAAACAGGAAGAAAAAACAATGAAAGGTATAAATGAGGCATAAGAGGAGAAAAGAGCAAGGGTAAAGAGAATAACCCAGGAGTAGAGAAACTTAGAAGGATAAAGAGGAGAGAAGTTCAGAAGTCCTGATGTCAGTTATAGATAATTTTTTTCACAGTCTCATGTTTACTGGGATGTGTGGCCTCAGGATGTTTAACCATTGTCTACTGAATGCTGAATTTCTAACTTAAACAGTGTCAGGATACTTTTCTCAGAGCTACAGATAATAACAGTGATACCTCTTGAGGTCATTGGCAAAGGTCAGATGAAACCAAGCCAGACCTAACCTAGGTAAGAGAGGTTTCCTACTTCACCAAGAATCATGTGTTCCAGACGCACAATCTGTACTAAGCAAAGAAGTGCTTTATTCTGTTGCCCTCAAACCTTCATCTTCATGCTTTGCCTTATCAATCTAGAACACTGGGTTACAGTGAGGAAACCCCTGCTTAAGCTGTCTATACCCTGCATGGTTTTACAGATTTCCCACATACCTGTTCTTAGTCTTCGTCTTTCCAGACTGAAGTTCTGTTCATTTCAGCCTCTAACACTATGAGTAATTTTCATTTATTTAGTGATGTCTGTGTGCCGGGTAATCTTCACAACAGCCATGAAATAACTACGATCGTTGTCTTCATTCAACAGATCTGTAAACTGAGACATAGAGAGGTTAAGTAACTTGCCCAAAGTCACACAGTAAGCGATAAAGCCAAGCTCAGAGGTCAGGATGACTGACTCCAAAATTCAGTCACTGATCCTCTTTTTACTTCTTATTGAGCGCTTCCTCTCTCCTTCCACATCTGATATGGTGCGGCCCTGCCTCTGCCCCACGGGGATCCCTGAACCGAGATCACCATGGACAATCTTCAAGTTCTTTGTTCTGAAACCTTTCTCAACTGAATGAAGTTAGCTCACAACCCTCCTCTCCCGCCAGAGGCTGGCCAGAGGCCACACAGCCCAGGGTGGGGGCTCCCTCACTTCAGTGCTTACCACACAAATCGCACGTGTTCTATGGAAACATTGTTGTACTGAGGCCATATTATCTCTCCACGCATAGGTCTGCATTCACGTTTTTAGTTGTAGAATAAAACTTCTGGCAATCATGAATTTTTTCTAGCTAATATACCATGTATGGCAATTCATGTAAGGAAACATAAACCAGGTGGTTAAGAGAGAAAAATTACAAATAACTAAGAGAGGAGAGATGACGATTCCCCGAAAACTCTTCCAAAGGTGCCTAAGAACAATGGGCAAGGGGGGGGGGGAGGTGGGGAGAATGGATTTTTTCAAATGGCTTAGACCCTAGAATTAAAAAGTATATTACATTAGGCTTCTTTTTATTATTGTTAATTTTTACTGAGAGTAGAGTTGCTTTACAATGTTGTGTTATCGTCTGCTGTACAGCAAAGTGAATCAGCTGTACGTATATGTATATCCTCTCTTTCTTGGATTTCCTTCTCATTTAAGTTACCACAGAGCATTGAGCAGAGTTCCTTGTGCTGTGTAGAACATTCTCATTAGTTATCTGTTTTATACACATTAGGCTTCTAAGTGAAATAAACTCATAAAAAGTGGACGTATTTGTATTAGTTGGAGAATTTGGGGTTGTAAAGTCACCTTCTTGGAATACCTTTGAGCAAGACATATCCTTTAAAGAATGGTGAACGCATATGTCTCCTAGCTGCCTAAGCAACTAAGAGGCCTTGCTGACCTGACTTTCTTTTCTTTTCCAGATCTTGGCTATCGTGTCCATCTTGTTCATCGTACTCTCCACCATTGCGCTGTCTCTCAACACGCTACCAGAGCTGCAGGAGATGGATGAATTTGGACAGCCCAATGACAACCCCCAGTTAGCCCACGTGGAGGCCGTGTGTATCGCCTGGTTTACCATGGAGTACCTTTTACGGTTCCTGTCCTCACCAAATAAATGGAAGTTCTTTAAGGGCCCACTGAACGTTATCGACTTGCTGGCCATCTTGCCGTATTACGTCACCATTTTCCTCACGGAGTCCAACAAGAGCGTGCTGCAGTTCCAGAACGTGAGGCGCGTGGTCCAGATCTTCCGAATCATGCGTATCCTCAGGATCCTGAAACTCGCCAGACACTCGACGGGCCTGCAGTCCCTGGGTTTCACCCTCAGGCGGAGTTACAATGAACTGGGCTTGTTGATACTGTTCTTGGCCATGGGGATAATGATATTCTCCAGCCTGGTGTTTTTTGCCGAGAAGGACGAAGATGCTACCAAGTTCACCAGCATCCCGGCCTCATTTTGGTGGGCCACCATCACCATGACCACCGTCGGCTACGGTGACATCTACCCGAAAACATTATTAGGAAAGATCGTGGGAGGCCTCTGCTGTATTGCAGGCGTTCTGGTGATTGCCCTTCCTATCCCAATCATCGTGAACAACTTCTCTGAGTTTTACAAGGAGCAGAAACGCCAGGAGAAGGCCATTAAAAGGAGAGAGGCTCTCGAGCGGGCCAAGAGGAATGGAAGCATCGTTTCTATGAACTTAAAAGATGCCTTTGCTCGCAGTATGGAACTGATAGACGTGGCTGTGGAGAAGACCGGAGAGTCGGCCAATACGAAAGACTCCACGGGGGATAACCGCCTCTCTCCAAGCCGGTGGAAGTGGGCCCGGAAGGCTCTGTCGGAGACAAGCTCCAACAAGTCTTACGAGAATAAGTACCAGGAGGTCAGCCAAAAAGACTCCCACGAGCAGCTGAACAACACTTCTTCCTCCAGCCCACAGCATCTGAGCGCCCAGAAACTGGAGATGCTGTACAACGAGATCACCAAGACGCAGCCTCACTCCCACCCGAATCCCGAGCGCCAGCAGCAGCCCGAGAGGCCGTCTGCGTACGAAGAAGAGATAGAGATGGAGGAGGTGATCTGCCCGCAGGAGCAGCTGGCCGTGGCGCAGGCCGAGGGCATCGTGGACATGAAGAGCACCTCCAGCATCGACAGCTTCACGAGCTGCGCCACCGACTTCACGGAGACCGAGAGGTCGCCCCTGCCGCCGCCCTCCGCTTGCCACCTGCAGATGAAGTTCCCACCCGACCTCGCCCGGATAGAAGAGCACCAAAGAGCCAGGGCCCCCCCATTCCTCACCCTAACCCGAGAGAAGATGCCCGCGGCCAGGGACGCCAGCCCAGAATACGCTCCAATCGACGTAACTGTGAACCTCGACTCCAGTGGGTCCCAGGGTGGGCCCCACGGCCCCTCGCAGTCGGACAGTGCCGCCGAGAGCCCGAGGAGCTCGCTGAAAGGCAGCAACCCACTCAAGTCCGGATCGCTCAAGGTGAACTTCAAGGACAACAGAGGCGGGGCCCCGCAGACCCCACCCAGCACGGCCAGGCCACTGCCGGTCACCGCGGCGGACTTCCCACTCACCGCCCCGCAGCTCATCAGCACCATCCTCTTAGAAGAAACCCCCTCCCAGGGAGACAGACCCTTGCTGGGCGCCGAGGTTCCGGCACATTGTCAGGGACCCTCCAAAGGGCTGACGCCTCGGTTTCCCAAGCAGAAACTCTTTCCTTTCTCATCCAGAGAGAGGAGGAGCTTCACGGAAATAGACACGGGCGAAGACGATGATTTCTTAGAGCTCCAAGGGACCACGAGGCGGGACAAGCAGGCGGACTCCAACCCGAACTGCTTTGCAGATAAGCCTAGTGACGGAAGAGACCCTTTACGAGAAGAGGCCTCTGTGGGCACTTCCTCTCCACAGGACACAAGTCACAACTGTAGGCAAGACATTTACCATGCTGTGGCGGAAGTTAAAAAGGACACCAGTCAAGAAGGGTGCAAGATGGAAAACCACTTGTTTGCCCCAGAAATTCATTCCAACCCAGGAGACACAGGTTACTGTCCCACACGTGAAACCAGCATGTGACTAGTTACAAAGGCAATAATAAAAACAAAAACAAACAAACAAAAAACTTGTTTCTTAAAAATGCGGTTAATAATGCCTGTGAACTAAAAAGTGGGAAGCCCCTCTCCCCAAAACAGTGCATAAAATGTTATTTTTGCATGGCATGAACAGTTTAGTTTAAGTACTGTTTAAATAAAGCATCAAGACTGCATTTTGTAACAAACAAACAAAAATGACTGAAGAACAGTGAACAAATAAAGAGAGCTCTATTACGAACCGGTATTCTGCAATGTCTGACATTTTTGATCCTTTCATTTCAAATTGTAGACAGAGTTTCAACTTTGAGCTTTTCCGTTACAATGAATTTTAGAATTTGCACATGAAAGGATGAAATGTCATTGCATGAGTTCGTAATTGCCAGGCAAGGTGCTTTGAGCTTGCGAAATGGGTAACTTTGTAAATAACGGGGCTTGGGATGCAAAAGTGTCAAGAACAGATGGAAAGAAGTTTCTGAGACACAGGCACCTCCTTCACAGCTACTGCCTGGAGGAGCTGTACAGACTTCTTGTTGCAAAATTGCAACCTTTTCTTAAAGCATCCCACATATCTTGCTTTGGGTTATAAAGCTCTTATAAGTACATCTGTTTAAAGGAATACAGTATTTTTATTGACTTGTGATATAACTCATAGGGTACATTTTTCTTTTTTGCTTCTGCTTAGTTGTGGCATTTATGGTTTTATTTATAAATCATGGAAATAGGCAAGATGTAATGACCAGATATCCAAAAACTTGGAATTGCAGTTTGAAATTTTGCCAGTCAATTATATATCACTAATATCATGGGGAAAAGTATGTATCATGCCACAACCTATTACAGAAATGCATTTTTTAAAAACCTGAACATACTTAAAAGGTGATATTATACAACTAAACTTTTTTTTAATGTCCCTCCACTTTTGGAAAGCAGTTCTTTAAAAAAAAAAAAGAAGAAGAAGAAGGGGACTTCCCTGGTGGCACAGTGATTAAGGATCCGTCTGCCAATATGGGGAACATGGGTTCAACCCCTGGTCCCAGAAGATCCCACATGCCGCAGAGCAACTAAACCCATGCACCACGACTACTGAGCCCGGGCGCCTAGAGCCCGTGCTCTGCAAGAAGAGAAGCCACCACAACGAGAAGCCCGCGCACCGCAACGAAGAGTAGACCCCGCTCCCCGCAACTAGAGAAAGCCCGCGCGCAGCAACAAAGACCCAACACAGCCAAAAATCAATAAAATAAATAAAATTTTTTAAAAATGTATGTTGACCATCTAAAGACGACTGTATTTTCCACTTGAATCCAACATAACCTTTTCTGTCTAAAGATCTAAAGATAGAATGTAGACATGCCAAAATGGGAATTCCAAAAAGTGACTTTTGGCAAACTAAAAGCAGCGTTGTTTAAGTAAGACTGCCACCCCGCCCACCTGTACCCCGTAGATAGAGTTGGGTTTGGAAATGAGTTAACATATAAAGAACCCTGGCCTGGGACTTCCCTGGCAGTCCAGTGGTTAAGGCTCCACGCTTCCACTGCAGGGGGCACAGGGTTCCATCCCTGTTGGGGAGCTAAGATCCCGCATGCCACATGGTGCGCCCAAAAAAAAAAAAAAAAAAAGAACCCTGGCCTGATAATGGGTCACCCATTATTTCCCAGTGAGGGGAGAAAACACTGCCACCTGGGGAAGGCCACAAACGCCAGTAGCACCATCCAGTGATTGCAGCATCTAGAAACACCCCGTGTTTCCAACGCCCCCAAGAGATGGAGGATTATCCTAGTTGAAAGCAATACTTCCAGCATTTCGACTGAGAACAGTGAAATCCAGAGGCGTTAGGATATGGCTAGTGACTGTCCCGTTAGTGAAGACTGTGTAAAACCCAGGTCATTTGGATCAAATTTGCCTCACAGGAAATCAAGGCTCTAGCTCGATATGCAACTACCTGATGGGTGATCCTGGATGAGCCTTGAAATCCTCTCTTAGTTTCAGTTTTACCCCAATAAAAATCAAGACAAATTATTTCTAAGGTACCTTAAGACTGCAAATTAATATGATTCCTTGATCTCTCAGGAATGTGCAAGTTTGCCTCCACGTAATGCATTTTGTACGTGTGTGTGGGTGTGGATGTATAGTTCCGAGAAATAGGAAAATTCTGGGCCCAATTTAAAGCACAACTTTTTGTTTAAGGAAAAAAAATTCTAAATTTTATTCTATTTTTAAAAGAAAAAAAAAAAAACACCAGAAAAAGGACAACCCAAATATTTAGAACCTAACTTAAGACTTTAAGGAATAACATGTCTTTATTAACAAAATCTGGTCATTATGTCTCAGATAAGAAAACAAGTTTTGACCTTAGCTGAAATCCAAGCAGCCCTACTGCTAAAAATAATTTTAAACATTTCTTTTTCACTGTGCTTATTAGAATTTCCTGATGGTTTTTATGTTTGTTTCAGAGCACAACCTTTAAGAGTTTATGGTCATTAATCATTGATATTTACATCACTCATACTTATCTCAGTGTCTGAAACTAAATGTTGCTCAGTTTTTGTAAGTCTAGAGTGTCTGAATTTTCTATATATAATTTTTCAAGTAAACAGATATATCTGCTGTTAGACAAATAGCAAATAAGTCATGAAAATTATTTTCTTTACATAGTCTCATGAAGCAGTTATTTTGTAATGTCTCTGTACTGATGAATCTGAAGTTTTTAAAAGTTATCTGGTAGTTTACTAACGCCGACCTTTCTCATGTCCATTAGGCCTTTCACTGACAATCCTGCTCCAGAATGCTTAATGTTAGAAGTCTTTCCTAGATAAGGAATTCTAGACATTCTCCCCAAAGGCCTTCTCCCTAAAAGCTTTTCCCCTTTAATATTTTTCTTAAGTTTTAAAGAATTTTCAAGAACCTCCTATGGAAAGTTTAACCTTCAATTCTTCTCAGCCGCCCTGAGCCAAAAGTCTTCAGCTAGGAAAAAATAAAATAAAATCTCCTCTAAAAAAAACTTTGGGTCTTCCCTGGTGGCCCAGTGGTTGAGAGTCCGCCTGCCGATGCAGGAGACACGGGTTCGTGCCCCGGTCCGGGAAGATCCCACATGCCGCGGAG